ATAACAAGAATAATGAACAGCCATATACCAGAGACATTTTGTGGGGGTGGAGTGAGGAATGGGATCAAAAACGGGGGTATGGAGAAGGAAGTGCACGGGATTATGGTGATGGCACACGGGTGACTTGGTGATGGGAAACCCGCAGGGATTACAAGTGAGATGGAAAAAAAAATGTACAAAATGATGTAAAAATAAACTGTTATAAAATAAATAAATAAATAACCGCCCCCCCCTCCAAAAAAAAGTAGCTCCATGTGACACTTCTCTTTTAATTTAATGCCATGTGGACTAACCCTGAAAAATCACCAGTGCAGGATGTCATCAGGAGTTCCAGCCAAATACTTCCAATTTCCCAGATTCTTGAGCATGGACTATGTAAATGCAACTACATTACAGAGAGAACTTTACAAAAATGTATACATTCACACACACACAATTAACAAAAAAAAAAGAGTATAGATTCTGAACCCAAGCAGTCTTTATTTTCATCAAATTGGAGGTGAGCTGGCACTATAAGAATCATCCTAAGCTCATTCTGAGTGGCTTCTTCCCCCTCCTATCTCAATTCAAAAAGGACAGGCCTTCCCAGAGTATCTGCTGACAATATCTCCTCAAGCCTGCCTCTCAGTCCACTGTTCATGATCTTCATAATATTGTTAGTATCTAAAATGAATCACTTCTTATATATTTTATTTATCTCCATACTTCCACTAGAATATAAGCCTTTTTATCTCAATTATTCATTATTTATTAAATGGATTTATGCATACATTGATTTGCATGTGTAGATTTTTTCCAGGCTCCTTGGTTTCCTTCTAGAATTCAACCCAGAAAGTATCTGGGTATTGTCCAAATTCACTGGAGATAGAACCATTAGTTTACATTGCTTCTTAATGGTCTATGCCCTATCATCCCCTCCCATCTTAAATTATTTGTTCATAAAGCTCACAGTTAACCCAAGTGAAATTTATATGTGTACAATTTGGAAAGACATTTCTATTGAAGTGGAATTTGTTTTGTATTTCTTGCCAGGATACATGTTCTACAGGGAAATACGATTGTGTATAGAAAGAGGAAGAAAGAAGAAAGACAAGTTCATCAGCTCCTATTTCTGGAAAAGAAAGAGACTACCTTCAAGAGAGTTTGATTTATCAGGTTGAAACTCAAAGTAACAGGAAAATATTTTTCACCAAGGTGAATTATTATTCTCTCTGACATGATGAGGTATGTAAATCTGTAAAAGATAATTATATAAAAGATAATCACCAGCTGTTGTCTATTTGGAAGTTGGCTACCACAGAAAGAAACATGTCCTCAAACAGATTGTGGGCTCCTTGAGGGTAGGGGCTACATATTTTTACCTTCTGTCTCAACACATTAGGCTAGCTACCTGTGAGGGACCACCAAAAATAATATGCATTAATTAACATATAACTGTGGGAGATTGAACTAAATTTCAGTGTGAGAAAAATATTTTTGATTGGAGAGTTAACTAAAATTAGGAATTGAATTTTCCCCCTAAATTTTTTTTCAAAAGAATGCAAACTAATTCCTTTAACCCCTGATAAATGACATTTCTTCCAAATATAACAATGTGCATATGGTGTTTCTCAGTGCCTTAAAACTGTTACCTTTCTTTACATTACCAAATTTAACAAGAACAAGTTGTAGTAATTAGATTTTAATAAAGGGTCATCTTCTTTCCATTGATGAAATTCAAAAATTTCATGACTTTACAGAAAAGTGACCAGATTCTAAAGCCATAAATGGCATTAAAATGATACAGCCTAAGCCCTGGTGTCCAGGTGAGTAGAGCTTGTTCTGGAGAGACAGACTTGAGAGGTCACAAATCCTCCCCATCATTAATAATAGTGCTATTCTTGTTCAACAGTGAGAAAGCAGGGTTGGAAGATTAGTTTGCACCTAAGGCTGCTCTTAAGTATCTAAACATATAAGGCAATATTTATAATAGAATTCCCCCTAAGATAATATCTGCTCAAAGAGTGAGCATTTTAAAGAAGGGCAGAAGGAAATTTACAAAGTCTCATAAAAACAGAGAATTTTAGTCAGAAGTAATCAGTGAATATATCTAAAGTGTATTAATACCCCAGATTTAAACTTTATTTTCTGAATGTCCCTTTGGTGAGGTGATTTCACTTGAAGGCTTGTTTGTAAATATAAAGGATACTATTTGAAGAATGACTTTCAACCACAATTTTAAGATACTTTTGATTGCCAGAAAAATATCCTCTACATTGCACCTTAGTACACATACATGCATAGAAGAGACACAAATTTCAAGAAACACTTGTCATAGGAGATGAACTTAATGATTTTCTATTCTATTGCTCTTCATTTTTAAAACTCACAATGAATCTCAAAACCTTTTTCCAAAATCACTGTCAATTTCTCTTCCCGACTATCTACATGTTTATATCCACCCTATAAGGATCTACAACACTATCTCAACCTGGAAAATATTTTGATAGTATTAAGATAGCAGTAGAGTTAATTTTTTGTAAATTTCTGCTTCTAACAGGTACACACCTCTTTGTTGTTCAATAAACATCTATCAGTTTTATTCCTTCACAAGACCAGGGATCTCCATGCTTGATTCCACTTCTAAAAATGTCTCTTTCCCTGAAATCTTCTGCCTTTTTCCTCCTCTATTACCTCTGGCACAATTAGTACACAGTATTTTAATCAGCCTGTACCACACACCCTTTACACATTTTAAATACATTTATGCCATTTTTCTCTCATTTTTCTACTTCTGTTTAGTCTCTTTAAGTTACGGTTAAATGCTATACCCACACATTCAATTGCTTTAAGGAACCGAGTCAGTCCTGCTTGTAGAAATGCTGGTTGTTAATATGAGTGATGTAGGATGCCCTAGGATTAACCTCCAACAGAAACCTCTCCCTGTGCTTGTTCTATCACACAATACAGAGGACAGCAGCATGGTCCCCTTGGCAAAAATCTCCCTGAGTCAATTTTATTTCTATGATTTGAGCTCCACTCAGGAAATTCTCAATACTTGGCCCTCTGCAGTTTATTATAGGAGATACTTGAGCAACTTTAATAATTCTGTGATCGTTTGCACTGAAAAAGGGTAATTAATGACCTGGAAGCAAATTCTTAAAGGAGAGCATGGTCAGATGTTAGCTGCTCAGCAGTAGTTGGGGAACAAGAAAGTTTTGAACTCATGACACAGATGTGAAAGCAGAGAATGAAGATCATATGTAAATTCTAAATTCAGAAGTCTTCTTGTACAGGTTTTGTTTGTATCTCTCTGTGTGTTCATTCTTCTCCCAATTGCCCAGCTTCCTTTCCTAGTCACATTTTTTACTGTTATCAACATAATTCCCACTTATATCAGCAGAATAAAGATTCCTGTAGAATATTTCCCTGCAATGGGGCGGTGCTGTAAGGGTTTGAATGCATGGTGAGTCACATACAGCCCTCTGGGTCACCAGACTGGAGGTAGCAGGGAAGAAGGGGGGCTTATGGAGGGGACAGTCTGGAAAAACAAAACCCTGGAAGGTCTGGTGGGAGAACTGATCTAACTCTGGATTCTGTTTTCTGTTGGATCCTGAGAAAGCCCCAATGACAAGAATTAGGAATCTAAAGTCTCCCTGGAGTGGAGGGGGGATTCAAATAAGACCAAGACACATGCACCTTTTTTCCTATAAGTAATTATATTCTACAAGGGAGAAACCCTAAAACAGGAGGTGTAGATAGCAGCTCCATACACAAGGCAACTCTGTCACCTAAGTGCTCAGAAGAAACTCTGGCTGCCTGGGAAAATGTGTTGTGTTGCTGTCTGGCTTTCTTCTCCTTCTGTTAGGTTGCTATCATTATTTCTTTTTGAGAAGCACACAGCGTTAGTGACCTAAACAGTGCACTGTGTACGTGGTCCCGGGACTAACGGGATGCTTCTTTCTTAAGGATAAAGTGCTTGCTTCTCCCTGCCCGGGGATGAACTTAAAGGAGGTGGAAGGCTGCGCATCCTTGCAACCAACTTGCCTACCCCCACAGTGTTCCTGCCAGCCGTTTCGGAGCTCCTGGGCTCCTCCTGGATTTGAAGAGTTAGGAGGGAAGAGAGAGAAATAGTAATCTCTGACACTAGTTATGGCAGTTCAGACCCGGGTCCCAAACCCGGGCCCCTCCATCCTCATTGCGCTCCCTCAACCTAGGCTAGTGTTTCCTTGAACAGCTCCCTGCCAGGTGACGGCTGTTGCCCCAAATTCAGCCAATTTCCCCATATCCGGACAGTTACCCAACTCTGGGCGTTCTCTCACACCCCCTTTTCTGCCCTCCTGCCTCTTTCTCTTGCCTCCTCTCAGCACCCCAGTTCCCAATCAACCGTGTTATCATTCCCATCCCCTTCCACTCCCCCACTACCGACCTTCTCCACAACTCCCAGGTGGTGCTGTCCCCAGAGTGATGGGCAAAGGAACGAGAGTGGTCTTTGGGAGTGGGTCTTTTTTGGAAACTCACCTCCCTCCAGAATTTGCATCCTCCACGGAGGGGACGGAACTCTCAGAAAGCTGTCTCCAGGGATGGGCTACGAATCTCCCAGCTCAGACTGTCGCGTGCCCCCACCCCAAACCTCCCACCCCAGGGTCTAACTCGGACCCCTCTCCTGCTTCCCGTGTTTACGCTGCGTTTTAGTCTCAGGGACTCGTGGGGTGAGCCCCAGCCGGGCTTGGATCAAGGCAGCGGCGGTGGGCGCAGCCCCACTGACGGGTCAGGGCTAGAGGGGCTGGTGCAGAGGCGCTCGAAGCTCTCCAGCTCGCCCCTCCTTCTCCGAGGAC